ATCAGTCTTTGTTTCCTTCCCTCCTGAGGGTCATCAGTCTTTGTTTCTTTCCCTCCTGACATCAGTCTTTGCTTATTTCCCTCTTAAGGGTAATCAGCCTTTTTTCCCCTTCCCTCCTGAGGCTCATATGTAGCTAGCTAGCTCTCTCTCTCTCTCTCTCTCTCTCTCTCTCTCTGTCTCTCCGTCTCTCTCGTCATTAGGTCTTTGTTGGCCTTGCTCACAGAAATTCTTTAGTCTCAAGCAATATAGTGGAATGTAGAGTGAAATTGACTGGGATCATGCTGCTCCATTGTAACTTTTTGTGAACATTTCCCTGTGAGCAAGGGATGCAAAGACCCTAATGACCCTCAGGAGGGAAGGGAGGGCGACAAAAAAAAAAAAAAAATTCAACAGTACAGTTTAATATTAAAGGAACATTTCTGTCCTATAGGTGATAAATAATAAAAATCTTTATAAATCTGTTGTCAAAATATTTTGAAACTGGAGCATCTTTTGGCACTGGTGTACTATAAAATGAAGAAATATTTGTCAAATCTAATTAACCGTTCAGTTTTTAAGTCTTATTTAGTGTTTTGGAACAGACAGGTTCAGAAGGTGGCACTACCTGGGTTACCATCAGCAGTGTTAATTTAAGCGTGGTGACTTTGAACTGGTTCAGTTAGACTTATCTGATGGTCCGTGTTTCAGGGAACCTGCTCATCTGGTTCTGAACTCGGCAGTGTTGGTCTGAAAGCCCTCAGTTCACAGCTGAAGGTAAACCACTACCTTCAGCCAATGGCAGGAGAAAGGACTTCTTTGTTCTGTTGGAAAGTTTAGAGTTTAAAGAAGCTCTTATTTAGATGGATACATGTACCAACAGTATTGATGAGATGATAAGAATGTCTGAAGTCAGGATGTCACACTAACGTTTTGTTATATTTTGAAACTAAATCTACTTTTTTCTTTGTTCAGGAGTCAGATTTACACTCGGCAGCAGTCAGACCAGCAGCAGCTAACAGGTAAAATCTTTGGTTTATAATCAGCATGTTCAGAGTTTGTTCAAGTATAAAGATGTTGCTGCTGACCCGATTGTTTTCCGTTGTATTGCCCTCTTTTAATTTGTTTCTCACCCAACATGTTTGAACAGCGGTAGATCCAGTAAATGATGAGAACTTTACCTACGGTCTGTCTTTAAACGGGTCAAACTCACACAGTTTACACTGGAAATGACAACATTTTGTTCTCAAACAGGGAGGAGATGAGGGATTCCTCCCCCCCTCGACCACTCCTACACCGGGTCCTGCGGGCTGCCCTCCCCCTCCACCTGCTCCTCTTCCTCCTGCTGATTCTGATCCGTCTGGTTCCTCGGTCAGACGACGACTACAGCTGCAAACTGTCCAACAACTTTGCCCGATCCTTCTACCCCATGCTGCACTACACCAACGGCCCCCCGCCCACATGAAGTCCCCCACGCACCAAAGGAACATTGAACTGACACTCGGACAGTACCGGGTTGTGTTTGGAGGCAGCTTTTCGGCTCCACACAAACACAACCGCTGCCCTTCTTGACTTTAAATCATATTCCCGTGTTTAAAAACAAGTATGTATTTATTTATTAGAAAACAAACCATGTATTGTTTCTAATTTCTGAGTTTATAACGTTTTAAAGTGTTTGTTTGTTTCTCCTGAACAAAAAAAAAAACTTTCAGATGTAGATTATTATTCCTCCTCCTGGCTAACCCTGACCACTGACACAAATTTTACTATTATCATTAATTTAACTAATATCTTTCTGCAATATTCTTAAACATAAATTTCTATTTTCATACGTAAAGACTATAAGATATTAAATCAGCTGTAACTAGATGTACCATAATAATAAAACATTTAGTTTATAAAGTACTGAGAGACAGAGGGCTGATACTTGATAATAAACAGGTTAAATCCAGTTATAGAACATAAATGTGTGAAAGTTACTGTTAATTTTGGTCCTACGTGTATATTTTGGTATAATTTTATATACATTTGTCTCAAATACTTTTAAATATACAAAACAAACAACAAAAACAGAACATGTGTAAAATATTTTTTTAATGTATGATCCTTTATTTATGTAACAATTGTTGTCTTTTTGCCTGATAATAAAAACTGTCGATTGTTTACAGGATCTCTGGCTTTGAGACGGACCCGGTCCAGTTTTAGCACTGACCCGGTCCGGCACCAGCAGGCAGAATGAGAGTTTTGTTCACAAACAACAGGAACATCGTGTGTGTGTGTTCATGCATGTGTAAGCCACAGACGAGACAAAGAGAGAAATGGACAGTAAACACATCACCGGTCATTAGATAATCTGGTCTAAGGCTGAATTTTGTAATCCTGACGGTGCGTTCAGGGGTAGCACGTTCAGTAAAGTGACAAATAACTGGCTGTTTTAACGAGGATATAATCTACAATTTATGTTTACTTGCACAGTTTTTCTCTTACATGAAAGGATGCTGCTCATACTTCAACAGCTCCCCGTCCTTCCAGGCAGCAGCCACCAGTCCCAAACTAAACAAGTACATTTAGACCAGTTCTAATGATTTCCATTACCTGTTTTCATTTCCACAGAAGTTCCAGTAGCATAAATCCTTTGGGTCAGCCGCTGAGGCAGCTATGGTAAGGCTTCTTTTCGTACCCAAAATAAGCAGGTACTTGGTGCCGGGAAAGCTGGGAAAGTTAAATTGGTTAAAAACCTGCCATCTAACAGGAACTTTATCTATAATCCTAGGCCAGCATTACGAAGCAGAGGCTGCAGTGTGAAAGAACATCTGTTTGTAGATTCAGCCTTAGTTTCCAGACAGAATAGAGAGAATTAACAGTCACTTCAGATAAAGGCCACGTACTGCTGCTTCTTTGCACAAGAGTAGAAAAATGTTGCATCAACAGGCACCAGTTAAAACACCAACGTACACAGAAAGAGTTACACTGCAGAGGCACAGAGAACAAGTGGGTTTGGTCCACATGCAACCTTAGAAAACAGATGGTTTCTTCTGAATGTTACACCGACACAGTTACAGTAAAAACAAAAAAAGAGCACAAACTGCTTGGCAGAGGTCCAGTGATGTTCTAATGAACATTACTGTAGTGCACGTTCACAAAAAACTATTCACCAACAAAATATACAGTCGCTCCAATAAGGTTTGGTTCTGAAAGACTTAAAAACCATCTGGAGAAGGAAAAGACTTTAGCGTGCATCAGCACTTTGTGGCTTTCTTTTCTCAGTGTTCTTCAGGGGTTGGGTACCTTTTAGGTTCAGTCATTTCACCCCTCTAAGGCTGTTTCCATGACAACATGATCAGAGATGATGTAACTAACCGGTTCCCCTGCTGAACCCCTGTCCTCCGCATCCAGGGACCAGCGCTCCGTTGGGATGTAGCTGTAAAACAGGTTGTCCACTGTTATTCACCAACAATAATTAATCTTATTAATCATCTAAAACAATTCTAGAGAAAATAGCTGCAGGTCAGTTGCGTGATCATCTACAAAGAAATAATTTGTTTGAAGAGTTTCAGCAGGTTTTACAGCTCAGCACTGAATCTGCACTGGTAAAAGTTACTAATGATATTCTCATGGCCTCTGACAACGGACAGGTGTCTACACTGGTCCTGTTAGACCTCAGTGCTGCATTTGATACAGTTGCTTGATCGCTCCAGTTTTAGCTTCTCTCCACTGGCTCCAAGTCAAATCCAGAATTGAATTCAAAATCTTACCTACAAATCTCTAAACAACCTAGCCCCATCTTGTATTAGAGTTCGTATTGTTCCATTTTTTCCCTAACAGAGCATTTCACTCTCAGACTGCAGGCTTACTTGCAGTTCCTAGAGTTTCCAAAAGCAGAATATAAAATATACAATTTGCTAATTGAATGAAAATGCTTCTTGTTAACAAACATATTCATCCTGTGATGGTGCTTTTAGAGCAATGTGTGTGCAGTCGGCTGTTGCTGCAAACTGTGCTTTAATGTTGGCCTTGTCAACTGCATTGTGGGTAATTTAATATTCCTGGTTGACATACGGATCATTCCATCGCACACAGCTGGCATGGCTCGGCTCAGGGTGGACTGGCTCAGTTCTGATCGGTCTGCCAGCTCCCTCTGAAATGTCCCTGTTAAGAATCCCAGTGTGGTTAGCAGCTAAATGTGCACGGGCTGTGCACGGTTCCTTGCTGTGTCGCACTCCATGACCTGCCGCAGCTCAAAGCACAGTTCCAAAAGGATTGTCCTTGGAAGCCTCAAACATCTGATGACCCAGTCATCATGGCTAAGTCAACACCAACATCTAACTGTGCTACCTTAAAATAAAGAAAACTCTGAAAAGTTTGAATAAAGAAACACAGGAACTTACTCATCGTTGTCTATTAAAGACCCGACCAAATTCTGAGGAGAAGGCGTGGATGGGAATGTACCAGCCTGCAGACGCCCATCCATGAGTCGGTCTTCAGCTGCTTCCAGTGGAGGCTCATGAAAGCTGTCATTGCTGGGGTGAGAGGTGACAACGTCTTCCATGCCAGGCTGCAGATGGAACGAAGGTGGGGGGTACTGCAGCCCGTCGGAGTACGTATCCGAGCTTGGTGAGGACGAGGCAGTTTGACTGCTGCCGCTGCTGGATGTGTTGGCATCCAGCATCTCCAAGAGGAGGTTGTAAACCAGAACCACATTCTTCCTCTTCATGTTAGACAAGTGGTCCATCCCTTTGTTACTGTGGAGAGACAGGGGACAGTGAGGCTGAAGAAGCTCATTTTTGTCTTTAAAAGTGTTCAGATCTGTCGTATCCTTCAACAGGCCACAGTCTCGGTGCATGGCTACTAAAAGCAGAATCTCCAACAGTTCTTGTTCTGCTCTGTGGAATAGCTAAAAGAGAGGAACCAGATGATCTGAGGAGTTGTCCTAGTTCACAAACCAAAACCATCTCTCTGATATAGTCTGGCACTCGGTAAATAAAAACCTGAAAATTAACAGAAATTTAAAATCAGTCCAGGCAGCCAGTGTAAGGACTTTAGAACAGGACTTATCTCAGAACCCATGATTCTGCTCAATAAAACTTAAAAATCAGAGGGAAAACAGAAATTATGCTTCAGGTGATGTTTTTAAAAATAATCAATGTAGAGACAACAACACTGCCTTGGACAAAACCACAAGACAAAGCTGCTAACGTACCCAGGGGTAAGACCTAAAGGTGTCTGTATCGTATGTAGCCCAGTATGTGTCTGACCTCCACGTGGAGTATGTGATGGTTTGTGTGTCGGTATCTGAAACTGTAGATTTAAGGGTTTTGGTCAGTACCTGACATGGATAATGTGAGGGTCTGTGTGTCAGTACCTGATGTGACAGATGTAAGGGTGTTAGTGTCGGTACCTGCTGTGGAGGATGTGAGGTTTTATGTGTCAGTACTTGTTGTAGCAGATGTAAGGGTGTTAATGTCAGTACCTGATGTGGAGGATGTGAGGGTTTTTGTGTCTGTACCTGACGTGGCGTATGTGAGAAAGCAGCATGGTGAGGTGGCCCAGGCGCAGAGTTTGCTGCTGGTTGGACAGTCCCAGTTTGGAAATGGCCCAGACAAGTGCATCAATTACAGAGTCCAGGAGTCGCAGCAGCTTGTTCCGACTCTCCAGCTCCTCGGCCGTCTGTGGGGAGGTTGTGCTCAGATCTGCAACACACAGCATAAATATACATTTTAACCAAAACACGCAATACTTTGTATCAGATGTCTGCAGAGTTTATATATTCTGCCATGCAAGGAGAGTCCCTACCAATTTCCCAAAGAAAGGTCCTACAACCATCCTGCTGTGAGGCCATTTCTCCTTTGATACTGTACTTGTACTGTATCAGTCAGATGTTGTAAGAGCAATTACTGTTCATGAGGTTTTCTGCATCATTGGATGCCCAATATTTTAGAGTATGGACCAACTGACCGATGACCGGTCAGAGGTTCAAACCTCAGAAGTGGAACATGGTACTGTAATGTGTTTATTACATTACATTAACCTGATCCAGGTCTCTCATTAAGTTGACTGTTTTCTTGGTGTCTTTCTTTCTGCCATCTGGCTCTTCAAAGACCCTTAAGGTTCTTGGATGGACTCTTGGAGTGAAATACAAGAAAATGACAGAGAGGAGAAGCTGTAGCTCTCTCTGTCCGCCCTCCACCCGTACAGAGCCCAAAGCTTCCATCCATCCAAATTTATAAATCTTAGACCTCCTCCCTTTTTTCACGGACTTTACTCCGTTTCACTTCTTGCACAATGTGTTCTCATTTCCTTGTCCTAGCCCAGATGCAGCAGAGTCAACAGAGAGGAGCGGGTCTGGCAGAGGCCGGTGTGTGTGCCTGCAGGAGGAAACTTTGTTCAGCTGAACTGTGAGGACATGCAGCGAGGTCTGTCACCTCACTGAAGTCTGTTTGCTGGTGGGAGGGGGTGCTGAGAGGACGCTGTGACCCCTGGAAAGTCTAAAAACACTAAGCCGTGCAGAGATGAGGTCCATGCTTGTGGGTCAGAGGAAGCAGAACATCAGCCACACTTGGTGAAAACAATAAAGTTGATTTAGGGTAATGGCTTTTACTGTCCAAAAAGGTTCTGTAAAGTTTGAAAATCAGTGAAATACTAGAGTTTAAGAGAACGCTGAGCTTTAATGAAGTTTTGAACCAAAGAGTGACATGAGGTCGGCTCTCAGATCTGGTTTCTTCTTCTCAGAGAAGAAACAGACTTTTTATATTCAGAAGATATTTTGTTACGAGACATCTTCAAGTTCAATTTGGACACGTTACAAACTCAAAACAGAACAATTACACTAAAGCACGGGTCAAAAGTTCTGGCCCACTCCTTTTTCCAGTGTTGCTTCATTGAGGTTTCTGCTCAGCTCTCTGAAGGTTCCACCATCAGGATGAGCTTCTGGACTCTGACTGGACCGTTGAAGCACCTCAGTTCTTGTCTTTCTGACCCATTCGGGTTTGGGATCATGGTCCTGTTGTGTATAATCTAAAGTTATTCAAGTGAATCTTGTGGTTGTTGGGTGGGATTGTTTAGTCAGTCTGGCCTGGCTGCAGGGTTAGAACAGGGTTAGAACAACGCCGTAGTCTGTTCCCAGCGTGGGGGTCGGATATGTGCAGAGCGGCACTCGGGTTCTGTCAGTAAACATCAACAGAACTTATCTGGGTTATGCAAGTAGAAAGCACACATTGCAGCACTGACCACACACGATCAAAGGTGCGCTGTCAATTGTTGCGACCTGACGCCGGGTTTGTTGTGCATCAGGAAAACTCACTGGAGTTGAGGAGGATCATGGCCTTCAGACACACGTACTCCTCCCTCTGCAGCTTGAGCTCACGGAAGCGAGCGGTGGCCGCCAGCAGCATGTCAAATATCTCCATGATGCCCTCCACGCACTGGCCCTCCTCCCTGAGGAGACACAGAGACGGGGTGAAGCTTGAAGCAAAAACAAACAATATATAAGGATCGCTAAGATTAATTCAATTCAATTAAAAAAAAATTTAAAATACTTTATTAATCCCAGAGGGAAATTAAATTCTAAACGAACGCTAAACAATATGCTAAAAGATTTAAGATATACGCTAATGTAAAATCATACGGTATATTAAAGCACACGACAATGAGACACAACAGTGTGAGTAGACGAGTATGAATGAATACAGCAGCATAAGATAATCAGCAGCATGAGATAATCCAGCACAGATAAGTCTGAGGAAGTAGAGTTGCTGATGAGCTTGGTCACCTCTAAGTGACTTCTCTCATCTAAGTCTAGCTTTCACAACTCTCTCCCAGACCTTCATTGGGTGGCTCATCAACTTAATTCGCCTGTAGTTGCTACAACTGTTCTTAAAAATGGCCACCAGTACACTTCTCTTCCACTCCTCAGGCATTTTCTCAACCTTCCGCTTCTTCATTCTTTTCAGAGCTTTCTGGACTTCACCTTCACTAATCTTTCCCTCTTCCTGGTCCACAGTCTCTATGACCTCTACTCTTATTTGCCTTTCATTCTCTTCATTCATTAGCTCCTCAATATACTCCTTCCATCTTCCCATCACTGTCTTCTCTCTCGTTAGAACATTATCATTCCTATCTTTATAAGCCTAACCTGCTGCAAATCCTTTCCAGCCTGATCCCCCCGTCTTTCCAATCAGTACAAGTCCTTCTCACCCTCTTTAGTGTCTCATCATATGCCTTCTGCTTTGCCCTTGCTATTTCCCTCTTTGCTCTATGTTGCATCTCCTTATATTCCTGTCTCCTCTCTTCAGTCCTCTCACTGTCATATTTCTTCTTCACTAACCTCTGCACCACCACTCTCACATTAGACTCGAATAACATTTTTACCGTGGAAGCAAAAGAGAAAACTATGGTCTTCTGATCTTTTAAAACATTTTAAAATAAAACATTCAGTTGAAAAATGCTTCAAGTTAGATAATCTACATGGAGCTGTTTCTCCTTCAGAAACATTTTAATTTGTCTCAGAACCACGAAGGATCTGTCCACAGAAAAACTGTGGTGGTGGACCAACAACAGGATCTGGATCAAAGATTTAACAAAGAAAACCTGAAGGCCCGTGGTGACTCATGCCCAAGGTGTTTGCTTGATCTGTCAGAGAGGACTGCCACAAAAATGGGTCAAACTGAGACCAGACCAACAGGGTTCTAACAGGAATCAGGCAAACAGAACCCAAGCCAACAGAGACCAGTTCAACAGGGGTTCAATAGGAACCAGACCAACAGGGATCTGACAGAAACCATGCCAACAAGAACCAGTTCATCAGGAGTCTGACAGGACCCAGTCCAGAGATCTTACCAACACAGGTCTGACAGGAACAAGGACAAAATGGACTACTCTGACATGGGTCTAACGGGAACCAGTTCAACAGGAACCAGCCTATAATCAACCAATTTATCAGGAGTCTAACAAGAACTAGCCCAACAGACCAGACCAACAGGGGTCCAACAGGAACCAGCCTGAGGAACCGATACAATGGTGGTCTGACAAGAACCATGCAAAGGAACAAGTTCATCAGAAGTTTGACAGGACCCAGTCCAGAGACCTGACCAACAGGGGTCTGATAGGAACAAGGACAACATGGAATACTCTGACATGGGTCTAACGGGAACCAGTTCAACAGGAACCAACCTATAGGGAACAAGTTTGTCAGGAGTCTAACAAGAACTAGCCCAACAGATACCAGACCAATAGGGGTCCAATAGGAACCAGCCTGAAGAACCAGTACAACAGAGGTCTGACAGGAACTATGCCAACAGGAACCAGTTTAACAAGAGTCTCACAGGATCCAGTCCAACAGAGACCTGACCAACAGGGGTCTGACAGGGGTCTAACAGAAACCAGCTCTGCAGGGGTCTGACAAAATCTAGCCCAACTAGACCAACAGTGGTCCAACAGGAACCAGCCTATGAGGAACCAGTACGGCAGACATCTGACAGGAAACAGGACAACAGGAACCATTTTATTAGGCATCTGTCAGTACCCAGTCCAACAGAAATCAGCCTATGAGGAACCAGCACAACAGACATCTGACAGGACCCAGTCCAACAGAGCCCAGATCAACTGGGGTCCAACAGAAACCAGCCTATGAGGAATCAGTAGAACAGAGGTCTGACAGGACCCAGTCCAACAGAGACCTGACCAACAGGAATCTGACAGGGGCCTAACAGGAACCAGCTCAACAAGGGTCTGACAAGAACTAGGCCAACAGAGACATGTCTAAATAGGAAAGCTGTGTTATGAAAACGCACCAAGGCTGGGTTAGCCATTTTAACTGCATCCGACTCACCAGTTACTCCTGTACTTTTCATTTTACTCCTGTTAACCCACCACATTCTAACGTTGCACCAAAGAATAAACAAACAAACAAAGCATGCAAACTTTCAGAAGGTTCTTATGTGACGTAATGTAAGGAACGTGATGTTATATTAGTCCTGTGCTTTACATCCACCCATTAAGAGTCTGAAGGGTTGATCCAGTTAGAGCTGCAGTATTTTACTGAAGACTGGGCTGATAAAAGCTGGTAAACGACCCAAAAATTGCTCCAGTTCACGAGCAGAGTGTTTACTATGAATCCAAAGGGTGATGGGCAGACAGACGGTCTTTGTCTGGGTAAAGTTGAAGGTTGAGGTGGAAGAGAACAGAAAGGGTTTTGGCAGTAAACTGAGCCGTTGGATCAGAGGACTCGCAGATAAATCCACTCTAAATGTTGCAGATCTTTTGGTCTTTAGGTCAACGGTTTAATGGTTCTGAACAAGAAACACTGTGGGCAGATTAAACTCCCAGAAACAAATATTTACCACTCATCTTCAGAAAAACAGTCCCTATTATAATCATAATTTTTAAGAATGTGTGACGTCTAATACAAAGCAGGACAATTATAAAATTTCCAATAAAGTACAAAGTCTTTGCATCCTAAAGAAAAAAGTACTAAGTCCTACTTTTCAGATGAGACTGTGTGACTGAAAAGAAGCCATCTCATTTGATTGATATGATTTATGTTTTATAAAACCATCACACACCTCCTGCCCTGCAAGCACAAAGCATAACTACAGGATGTAAGTCACGGTGCGACAAGTTAGAAAAACTTTATTTGCAGTTAGTCTCCTTAAAGGGGCAAGCTGACCCAACCATGCCAACTAAATGCCCTCGGTGCCCCTAAATCCTCAGAATATTCAGTTTTCCATTCTTCTCATGAAACTACAGAAATTCTTTCTATAAAATCTGCCCATTTTGACAACCCACTCAGTGAATCTGAGATTAAATAAAACTCATAAGAACCCGAGAGAATACAGATTACTTGAACGTTCTAGGAAGTGTGAGACACCATGAGTTCCAGCTGAGAAACTTTTTACCACGTGTGAATGTTTCTTTGTTTTAAGATGGGCCGCACCTAAAAACAGCTGAGTACAAAAATATTTTTGATAGTTCTTGTCATATTTTACAGAAGCTATAAAACATTTAGTCATATAAAAAAGGTCCTCAGGGTTTTTGTCTCCTGTGACGTGTTTCAAAGTGCATACGCTAGTTTGGACAAACTTACTGAAAGTTTCCTGTTATGTCCATTTTTGTGAGGGATCGGTCATTCCCAGGAAATCTGCCACCATTTTTGCTAACAATAAACCCTTGATCGCCAAATCTGTTAAAAATGCAATACATTTGTGCAAAATAAGTTTAGAAAAAGTGTATTTGGCTCGATACCACATACTCAAACAAGCGAGGAAAGAATTAAAATGAGCTAGAGTGAACGACAAGGAGAGGGCGGAGAACATGTTCAGGTCCAATAACTCCAGACTGGAGTGGGAGGGGGTTCCGTCTATGATGGAGATGCCAACTAAGAAAACTCACATTACTCTTAACTCATCATCTGCTTTGGAACGGTCAACGAATTTTAATTTATTTTACAATCGTTGTAGCACTACTGACTTTACTGAGGAGCTTTCCGGTTTAAAAAAAATCGCCATCACGTGCCACATTGAATATTGACAATAGAAGTGTCTTTAATATTTTTCAAACGACTAAAATAAGGGAAAGTCCAGGTCCTGACTGCATCTTCTTCTTAAGAACTGTACCTTGCAGCTAGCAGAAACTTTGCTTTCTTTTTAACGTCTCTCCAAACATTTAGGGTCTCTCAGCTTTGGAAAGACTCTGTCCAATTCCAATTCAGGCCTGTTGCCCTGACCATTAGTAATGAAAAACTTTTTCGGGAAATCCTTGACAAAGGTTAAAAAACATTTGGACCCACTTCAATTTCCTTATCGGACATGCAGAGGAGTGGAGGACGCAACAGGAACTCTTTTAAATAAGATTTTAGGACACGTAGAGGGTACAAAAACTTTGTAAGATTGCTTTTTATTGACTTTTCATCTGCTTTTAATTGCAGTCAACCCCACATTTTAGCAGAGAAATTACAATGCTTTGATGTTCTCAACTCTGGACTAATATGTTGGTTTTGGACTTTATAACTGTTCAGTCCCAGCAGGTGAGGGTCAACGGGGTTCTCTCTGATGTCCCTGTCGTCTACTGGTTTCCCTCAGGGCTGTGTTCTTTTGCCCCTTTTATTTGTTTGATATATAAACGATTGTCGCAGCCAGTTCCCACAGCATCATATTTTTAAGATGGCTGCTGAATCTGTCATCCTGTCCCTTCTCAGCAGTGATGACCCAGACCCTGGGCCTGTGGTCGGGGACTTCACTGAATATGTTTCTAAGACGAAGGAGATGGTCACTGATTTCAGAAAGAAACTCTTCAGTCGCCGCTCCTGTGTTCATTAACGGTGAAGCTGTTGAGTTGGTGCATCAATATAAATACTGGGAACTGTTCTCGATGACAAACTGACCTTTGACCCCCATGTAAACTCACTTTGTAAGAAGGTCCACCAGATAATGTATTTTTATCAGAAGCTCTGTGGTTTTAACGTTGATTCAACTTTTATGAGAATGTTTTATTTGTTTTATCGAGTCTCTATTAACTTTTATTTTCATCTGTAGCTTTGGATTTTTGCAAGAACAGGAACAAACTTTCGGGGATTGTCAGGATGTGCAGCGAAATTTCTGGCACAACCCGTCAGAACCTCACACAAAGCGAGGTCAGCGAACAAAGCCAGGCTGATTCTGGCAGAGCCTTCACCCGCTCCATGGTGCGTTCAGGTTGCTTCCGTCTGGATGCAGGTATCTATTGCCCAGATGTTGGACAAACGGTCTGAAAAACTCATTTATCCCTGCAGGGATCCGGCTTCTTGTTCTGATTTCTGTACGGTTACGTCCTAATGTCTTTTCTAGTATGGATGTTTTATGTGTCTACTGACTTGAAACAAATTGCCCCTTGGTGATAATAAAGACTCTTAAAGTTGAACTTGAACTCCCCTCCCTCCTGAGGGTCCTCAGGGTCTTTTATCTCCCTACCCTCCCTCCTGAGGGTCCACAGGGTCTTTGTCTCCCTCCTGAGGGTCCACAGGGTCTTTGTCTCCCTCCTGAGGGTCCTCAGGGTTTTTGTCTCCCTCCTGAGGGTCCTCAGGGTTTTTGTCTCCCTCCTGAGGGTCCTCAGGGTTTTTGTTAGTCTGGCTCACAGAGAGATGTTTGGGTCACCTGCATGAAGGTGTGAATCAGAGTGAAACTGATCTGGGATCAGTCTTCATGCTGCTCTCTAGCTTTTAGAAATCTGAAGTCTGAGACCTCCCGTGCTTAAACTTGTTTTTTCTAGTTTGACCTAAATATTTTCCTTTACGCCCGTCAAACCATTTTATTCCTTGAGGTGTAGGTTGACCTTATGCTCTTTGTTCAAGCATGCATTTTAAAATGATGTTTAGCTTCAATCAGTTGTTTGAGGCTTAAAGAAAATGTTTTGTTACGTGATGATGCCTGCTAGTGAGTTGGGAGGGTTTGGAAGTGGGAAGTTCGTATCGAGGATAAAGATACGCTGCAGCTTCCAGAAACACACATTTTGACTTCGATTCTCATCAACAGGAAGAAGCAGAAATGCTTCGGCCATCTTTGACAATGTTGCTGATTGTATTTCTGTAGGTTAATAAATATAAACCGAGGGTTTTATTACCAAATTTAAAAGAACAGTTCCCGTGTGATCTGAATTTTTTTTTTTTATTTAATCGCATAATTTTTTAACTGAGGAATTGGATGAAAAATAAGTTTGTATAATTGAATCAACCCTTAATGAACCATAATTCAGCTGGGTGCCACAAAAACTGCAGTTTTACTAAAATATGTAAAAAAGGAAGGATTGGGCAACAACTCAGTAGATTAAGATCTGCAATATAAAACATTAGGTACTATCAAGGTGTAATGTTTGAGAATTGTGGCAATTAATGAATCACAAACACACAATTTCCAAGAATGAGAGAACATTATCTGCACGTCTACAGCCAACAACCCATGGAGCAGGAAATCATTTTTCTGACTCACAAAAACAGGTGATTTAATAGCAACCTGCTGGCCCCTGGCCAACTTAACAAAAGCTTTTAAAGCTGTGTACTGAGTCGCACAGAGTTGGCTTCCAGTCCCAAAAAACAGCTCCAGCAGAAAGCTGCCAAACTTCCTGTTTCTAAAATACTTGAGTTGCTCACCACAAGGCCGTCCTTGTGGTTCTTGTTTTTGGATGATGGATGGATGGAGGAAAATGTTCCCACCTGCTGAGTTTAAAGTCTGGAGAGAAGATGAGTTTCCCAGGATGATCCACAGACCTCCACATCAGGCCCAGCATCAGGATCTCCAGCCAGCAACACTTCAGCAGGTGGATTTGGTCAGCTAAACTCAACTCTACAAATCCTGGAGACGAGACATACGAGAAAAGGAGACAAGCTGATTAGAACATGGTTATTGTCTATTTTAAGTCTAAAATGTTACCAAAAGTTCAGAATTTTATAAGTGTAGAGGGAGCCATCAGGTGGTCTGATTCAACAATTAGAAAAGGTTCTGCTAGCTTCTGTTGTGTTGGGCACTGCTCTTGGTTAAGATGTTCTCCAGAGCTGATCATTGGTCCACAATATCAGGTTCAATTCAACTCAGTTTATTTCTATAGCTCCAAGAGATGTTCTCATCATGATCATGAGCTTGAAGGCAGCCTAACATGCATGTTATTAGTCTGTGGGAAGAAACCGGAGTATCTGGACGAAACCCTTGCAAGCCCGAGAAGAACATGAAAACTCCACAGAAAGATCCTAGGTCCAACCGGGGACTGAACCCAGGACCTTCTTGCTGTGAGGCAACAGTGATAAGCACTGAGCTGTCATGAGCCATGAAGGAGGTCATCAGAGGTACAGCACAGGTTGAACAACTGGGAGATAAAGTTAGGCCAGACTGAGATGGTTTGAACAAGTTCAGAGGAGGGATAGTGGTTTGGACATGTCCAGAGGAGACAGTGGTTTGGACATGTCCAGAGGAGGGACAGTGGATTAGAAACGTAACTGCCAGGAAAAGGACAAAGAGCTCCATACATTCCATCACATGTACCACATGTGATGAAAATGACAAAGAAACCTTGACCTTGAGACATTCTCATGATGCTGCCACCACTGTGCTTCACGGTAGAAATGTTCTAATGATGCTGCCACCACCGTGCTTCACTGTAGAAATGTTCTAATGATGCTGCCACCATCGTGCTTCACTGTAGAGATGTTCTCATCATGACGCTGCCACCACCACCACCACCATGCTTCACTGAAAATGTTTTTATCACGATGAGAGGTGGAAAATTTGCTTTTCGCTTGGTGTTGTCCTTGATGGTTGGGCTCTTGACCACAGAAGCATTTAAATGTTTGTGGGAAGAAATCCAAGTCCAGATTTGTGCAACTTCTGGTGGCCCTATGGACAGATCCTCCCATCCATTGTTGGTTCCTCTCTGGCCCATAAACATCTCCTTCTTCTGAATTAGTTTGATGTTTTGTTCCTGATTTCATGCTGCATATATGAGGATCCCAACATCTCTCTGATTTGTTCAAACTTCTTCTAGGACATCAAGCATTGACAGAGGTAATGGATGAAAAAACAAAAATGACCTAATCTCAAAAAGCACTCTAACAATAGATAATTCTTCTAGCCTAGCAGAGCAAAATAGCTCTTGTGTATTTAGGCTGACAGCCTCATTCACCTGTCTGCACCTCGTTAGTCCTTTTACAGTGCAGACAATGTGCACTCATTTTCATCTTCTGGGTGAAGAATAAAAAATACTACCGGGAAAGCCATCTCATTCAGAATAGTGAGTCTTTGTGAACCCTTTACATTAACACATTTACAGAGCAGCTTCCTGCTGGGCTGAACACTGACTGACAGCAGGAGAAGACCAGAGAGACTGGGCGAGGACAGAAAATGGAAAAGTAGTGAATGAAAATGCAAAGACAGGAAAACCAATCTGATGGAAAAAAGATCCGATTTTTAAAAGTCAGTGCAGCCTGATCATGTTTAAAAAGTCTGTGATTCTCTGGTCTGAGGTCTGAAACACAAGAAACGATCCGGCACAAGAAAGAGCAAATCTGACGAAGCTCAGATCCACTCCATCATGACTTAAAATATGATGCACTTTCACGAAAGCTGACTTAATTAAACACGACTGTATTTCTGAGTATTGTTCGGTGCTGAACAATAAACCTGACAATAAGCTGACATGTTTAACACTGTTCCAACACTTAGCAAAAAAAATCATTTTCTAAATTATAAATAATAAAACTGGTGGCTCAGTTGGTAGAGCAATTGCTTTTCAGTGAAAAGGTCGCTGGATCAAATCCTGGCCGGGAGCCTTTCCGGGTTGAGTTTGCATTCATTCAACCTTGATTTAGACAGGTAAATCCCATTGAGCCTCGAGGACTCATTTCCAAAATGTTCTGCATGCACGTTCCCTCCCTGCATGCGTGGATTTCCTCCGGGTACTCCGGTTTCCTCCCACAGACCAAAAACATGCATGTTAGGCTGATTGGTAACTCTAAATTGTCCCTAGGTGAGAGAGAGAGAGTGAATGGTTGTTTGTCTCGTTTGTCTCTATGTCCCTGTGATGGACTGGAGACCTGTCCAGGTGTCCCTCGCCTATCGCAGAGGGACTTCTGTACCTGTATATGGGCACCAGTGACCCCAAAAAGGAAGAAGGGAGTAAAAGATAATGGAAGGATAAATTAAATTAAAATGTTATTTTTTTGAATATTGTTTTTAGAAGATGAGAAAAGTTGCTGTTTAAACTGTAGTTCTTTTCCTGAACAGGAGGTGTCACTGATGAGAAAACGTTTACGGATAAGAAGGTGTAGAAGAAGATGTGTCTGCATCTGCAGCAGATAAAGTTATATTGTACTCTGTTAATCCCAAAAGGAGAAATTAATTCTCTGCATTCTTCACATCACACATGTGAGCAGAGGGCTGCCGTCGAAGGCGCCTGGAGAGCAGTTGGTGGGTTAAGGGCCTTTCTCAAGGGCCTAGAGAGGGGCCAGTGAGGGTGGAGGCAGGTACGAGTGCTTCACCTTTCCCACCCACATTTTTGTTGTCGGTCCGTTGAGTGGAACCAGCGACCTTCCAATCACAAGCTCATCTTCTCTAACTTCTGCTCCACCACTCCCCAAACTGAACTGACTTTAAACTGTAATCTTAATTTGTTTATTTATTCTTCATCCAAGAGTCCAATTTTACTTTTCAACCTCTCTGCGTTGTTAAAGTTGATGTTTGTAGAAACGAACATGCGGCAGAATCTTTATCTAATGAATACATTTTATAAATTACGCTGCTGCTGCTGCTCTACTGATCACATTGCGCACGTTCAGGAGTCAGTTCATCTTTTCCTCCATCATGACTAACGAAGTCCTGCTACCACCAACTTCTGCTTCATGTTACAGTTACTAAAAAACAACTCTTTAATGAAAAACAAGGATCCATCCATCATCCATCCATCCATCCATTATCTTCCGCTTCTTCAGAAGTCAGGTCTCGGGGGCAGCAGTTTGAGCAGGAAGGTCCAGACATCTCTTTCCACAGCCTCCTCTTCCATCTCTTCTAGGAGGACTCCAAGATGTTCCCAGACCAACTGAGAGACATAGTCTCTCCAGCATGTCCTGGATGTTCCACGGGGTCTCCTCCCAGTCGGACATGCCCAAAACACCTCCCAATGGAAGTGTCCAGGGAGCATCCTTACCAGATGCCTGAACCACCTCAACTGGCTCCTCTCGATGTGGTTCTACTCAGAGTCCCTCCAGGATAACTGAACTTCTCACCCTATCTCTAAGGGAGAGTCCAGCTACCCTTCGGAGGAAACTCATTTCAACCGCCTGTATCCACGATCTCGTTCTTTCGGTCACTACCTAGAGTTTGTGACCACAGGTGAGGAATGCAGACCGACCAGTAAACAGGAGCTGAGCTTTAACGCGAAGCTCTCTCTGAAAAACAAGATGTTTGTTTAAAACGTCTCAGTCGATGGTTGTATAAAAAATTCAATGCAAATGGATCAATAAGGATACTGACCCGCCAATAAAAACAAAAAGGTCTGGACATTGTCATTAGTGCACAGCACTGTTTTTGGAGCATCCATACTGAACTATAAGCTAGAAAACAAACAAAAACATTAACTGGGCGGGTCATCCAGTGAGGTAGCTCCTCTGGCCAATCAATGGCTGGTTACGTCAAAATTGTCACTTCGGAGCAGTTTGCTTGGAACCACGAACAGAGTGGTGAGTGAGAGTGGGTACCAGCAGTGGGCAGGTCTTTAACCAGTGTGGTGTGGAACTGATGAGTGTAGAGACAGTAGCACAGTGCCATTAGATGGTCCGTGTAAAACCTGGAAGTAAAAGGTCACAGCTTACCTGGGATCTTTTTAGCCCAACTGATCATGAGCACCAGCTCCTTGTCTGCCAGGTTGGTAAGAGACATCATCATGCTGGCCTCGGTGAAGGGCTTCTTCAGGTCCTCCATCATGTAAATCTCTGGGGGCTCCGCCTCCATGATGCGAGAGATGAACTCCTCTGGACTCATGGACGGCGAGTGGTTCTGCTGAGTCAGGGGAGCGAGCGAGGAGAAAGGAAGCTCAATGGGGGGGAGGCGCTGTGTCCGGGAGCCAATCCCGATCCTTACCAAACCCCGAGGCTGGAGGCCTCCACGACGGTGCCGGGCTCCTCGATAGCTGCAGCGTTCACGCCTCACACCTGGAAGATCAAGGAGGCCACATCTGCTCAAGCTGACTGAAGATCTCTTGGTTTAGAGTTTGCATCATTTGTTCTTTCAGTTCCAGCATTAAAACAGCTCAACAATTCTGTAAAACCCATTAACTTTTGGTCAGTTTTAATGGTTTGAAACTTTTACTGATGTGTTACCGTTTGAGAAATGACACAAATGATGCAATAAAAGACATAAAGACTTGGTATAAACAGACCAAGCTCAGTTAGACCAGGATTTTATAAAGTTATCAATAAATGAAAAGAACTTCTGACAAACAACTTGCAACTATGCTCAGTTACGATCCATGTCAGTCATCGTCTCATTCAGAGATCTATCTGACCCTTGTTGGGTTGATGATGGTGCAGGAACTGTACTGCAGGATGAAAACGGCACCTTCAGGAGAACTCACCACACTTCATCATGCCCACTTCGTAGCATTTCCGCAGCCTGCAGGCTTGGCAGCTTTTCCGTCGGTTCTTGTCGATGGTACATTGGTTTGTGGCGGGGCAGATGTAGTCGTTGTGTCCTAACGAAACGAAGAAAAAGACGTGATCGTTTACTTTTCTGCCCGATGAGGAGAGGCACACCTTCTGACAGGAACAATACCTTGGATGCTCCGCTTGAAGAAAGCCTTGCAGCCCTCACACGACCACACGCCGTAGTGGTACCCGGAGGCGTAGTCGTGACACACGTCACAGAAGTGCATGTCTGCTTTCCCTGCAGCTGAGGAGCACAATGACTTCCCCCCTTCGACACCTTCTTCAGGTTTCTTTCCTAGCAGCTTGTTACAGCTGATGACGGAGCTGAAAGGAAGAAAGGAATGCTCAAAGGGACGACTTAATGAGTTGATGCGGTCATTTACAACCAAAAACATCCTTCCTTAAAATTTCATCAACTTTCCATTTAATTTACTCGAGAAAATATTTAAAGTAATGAACCATAATGAATGTGTGTCAATCAGTCACAAAGACAATAATTTATTAATTTACTGGGTCATACAAGTCCAGACAGAGAAACCCAACATGATTCACGGTCCTTCATCCTGCCATCTTCTACAGCAGGCCCAGAAGGAAAACCCAAACATCCATAACCTCAGCAGCTCCTCCTGGGGGATATTAAAAGGGTCACAGGCCAGAGAGGATAAATGAACCCTACAATAAGTTCTGGGTCTAAACCATGAGCTTCATCCAGTGGACCGGGCCCAGAAAGGCTCAGGAGGGAGGGAGGCATCCAGGAAGCCAAGTGGCATAATCTAGGTCAGGATGGGTGACCCAGGTGGTGTATCTGAGCCAGGACGGGTGACCCAGGTGGGTG